GTCCTGATGTTAATCTTGTGCCACTGTTACCACTAGTGACTGATGATGGACTACAAGCTCAAGAACCCGCAGCAGTGCTGCAAAGAAGAGTCTACAAGAAGAACAATGCAGCTGGGGTTCAACTGCTCATTCAATGGAAGGACAAGAACGCTGAAGAATGTACTTGGGAAGATTATGATGAGTTCACTGCAAAATTTCCAGGATTCAAGTTTTAACAGCAACCTGGAGGACAAGGTTTAACGGAAGGGCAAGGCAATGTTATATTTGTGATTATCTTAATCATAGTTTAGCAATTAAATAAGAATTTTGATTAAGTTGTTTTGTAATTAGTTATGCCAGCTGGCTTTGAGAGTTTTGGGGAACCATATATGTAGCCACTTGTGAAAGGGAAGAAACAACGAATATTCAAAAAGAAATATATTTAAAAAAAAAAAAAATACTCTTCTCTCTTTCTAGCTCTTCTCTGTATTCCTCCATCCACCATTGTCACATACTTGCAGGTCTGAGTTAAGGTTCTGAGTTTGGATCATAACAAGATTACCCACATTTTCTTTAAATTGATCTTACGGTAGGAGGAATTTCTCAACTTGTTCCAGCATCGCTTTGATGGCACCACAAATTTCAGCAATTATGCCATGAATTTCAGCAAGTACTGCAGCCTGCTTGCCTTCGATCGTCATTTTTGCTTTCGCAAGCTCTTGAAATTCTCTCTCCTTGCTATAACAAAACTGAACCTTGGGTTGAAGAAGCTGTTTCGTAGCTTCGACTTGGTCAGTCAAATTTTTGCCCCTATCATACTCGGAATAGGCTTTGGAGTAGGCTGGAACATATTGTTCTAGCTGCTTCAAAAAACCCATAAACATTGTTCTGGTGCCAGTACAGCTGACACATACAATTGATAGGACCGTCATGAAGTATGAAATGGCTGTAGAATTTGCTAAAACAAATTGACGACGCAGACAACAAGAAAACTGTGATTCATTTTATGCATTGTCACAAACACTCGAAATTAGATATATGTATTTAATATTGCCAACTAATTTGAATTCTCTCTTTATTCACTTAAGACTTATGTGAAATTATTAATTAGTCTATGGAGTAGATTATTTGCAATTGCTTTAAAGGATGCACCATATTTCTAATAATTGATTGACAAGGTTGATTTTAATTTTCCTAACCTTTCCCAATTCTAGTTCCCCTTCTTTCTCTCTTATTTCTTATACAGTTCTACCGTCGCTCTTTTTCCTACATCACCAATTTGTCATGCTCTACAGTAGCTTTGGAATCGCCAGAAACAGTTGTATATCACTGCAAAAACCAGTTAAGTGATTTCATAGTTTGCAAACAACGCATGTAAGATGATTTGTGTACTCGGATAGCAGCAACTAAAATTTGAAAACTTACACTCTAGCGAATTATTTAGGTTATAGTGCAGATAATTTGATTATAACCATCTCCCTGAAATAATACAAAAATAACATAAAAGAAAAGTTCATGTCCCAGTAGCTTTCAAGCAAATTAGGAAAAGATGTAAAATTCAACATTCTAGTGGGAGTTCTTTGAATGACGTATTATAATTTCTTTATCTTGCCAATTCAACATGTGAGACAATGGACAGTTTTTACCTGTCATCAGTGGAGATCACAATTCCTCTGAGAAACAACCCACATGGTAAGCCCCGGAAACATTCAAATTTGATGACGCATTCGATGTGGTGAACTGCCAATAAGGACGACAAACTGGAGGTAACAGTAGAGCTGATTTCCGGTCCATTGTTAGCAGCCGTCCACACTTGCTGCATAAAAAATGTAACATCAATAACTTCAAAGCCAGTAAAAGGTTTCAGAGGTAAAAAATGTAATTTGATCAAATGAAACATAATAAGCTTTATTTTTTATTTTTTTATAAATATACGAAGTTCAGCTGGAGAAAAGAAAGCCACTGCATCTGGGTCAATAGAACCAGCAGTATGCAATGAAAGTACAGCTCTGACGGTAGAAGGAAAACAGCGACTCAATGACAGCAACCTTATCTGGTGCAACATCAAGCGGACCTGATCGTAACTCACTTGAACTGTGATAACTATGATCCCTTAATGTTTCACTGGAACTCTCATTTTCTGGCAGTGAAGATGCTCGTTTCAACCAATCCAATCGTTCATATGTGGAAACTTTCAAATTAGGAACCTTTTCGAAAAGCGCTAAAACCTCTGACAGTGTTTTGAAATCTAGAACCTCTTCTTGATTATGTGCTACCGGTGCTTGGGAAAAGCGATGCTTCTTCGAAGCTGACTCATTACATTGACCATTTGACGCCTCATCAAGGTGAGTAAAAAAAATGCCTTTTCTGATCAGTGAAGGCCTTGAGAGCTAACCTAAAACATGGAATGACAAAATTCAAGAAATGGCTTCATAGGTCAAAATATGAAACTTGTATTTGCTCTCCATATCCTCTTTAGTGGAAAACTATTCAAAATCTATAATTTTTTGGAACACAAGTTTATGTATGCTTTGGAAATTTTGAAGTAAAAAAAAGCTTTCCTTTAATCATAATTTTTTAAGTAAAGGATATAGACCAATCTGGTCCGGTCAACCGCAGACACGCCAGCTTGGCCGGCGAGCTGTCGCTTCCAAGTATACGCAACAACGGCGCCGTCGGGACAAACCAACGGCATATGTAATCCCAAGAATTGCTCCGTGATAGCAGCGACTCGTTCAGAAGTCCAGATTCTTCCAGCCGCCTTCCTAACAAAAATAAGCACAGAACCCCTAAAAATGTGTGGATCTTTCAATGCGAGATAGGTTATTGCGAATCGAATCCTAGAGAGAGAGAGAGAGAGGAGGTACCGACGGAGCGGAGGTCGAGGAGGTGTTGGCACATGGAGGCGTCCTTGTTGAGGAACAAATGGAGAGGCTTGGAGCTCTGGTGAGGCTGAGCGACGGAAATAACATGAGTTACCCACAACACCTCTGTCCTCTTCCGGTAGATCACCGCAGGCGATGGAATCCGACAAATTTCCGGCGTCAAATGAATTCGTCGGTGCGGTCTGGGTTTCGGAGACATCAGCGGGTCGATTAGTGTGTGCGGCGTCCAGTCAATCTAATTGAATAGCTGCGACGAAATGGAGAGGCAGAGAGAGAGAGCGGGTAAAAACATAAACATAAAAAAAATTAAGAAATGTACAGTTTTGAAAAACTTGGCCTAATTATATTTTGCACCCTCCAGGGTGATTTTCAAATTGGGCGTGAAATTGAATTTATTTGCAGTGTCCTAAGATTCTTAAATTGGATAAAAAAAAAAAACAGTGGTCCTAACGTTAGGCTTTCTTTCTTTCCTTGTGAGAGACTTTCTCTCTGCTTGAGAGACCTTTCTCACCACCGCTTGTGTGAGGGTTCCACTTTTGATCAACTCCGATGCCGCCAACCCTAGCTGTTGCTGGGGTCGGTGGTTGTGCTTTCTTTGTTCTGTTGTCTTCCTTTTTGCTGTTTTTCCCCCTGCTCTTCTTTCGGATCTACCCATTTCTTCATACCCCCATCGGCGTTACTCCTTGCTCATCTCTACTCCGATCTACAACCGCTTCATAATTGCGGCTTGTTGCGGTATTTCGAGATGGTGTGTAGAGTTCCGGTGTTCCCATCGGCTCGGGTATTCAACACCACCACCTTCTCACTGTCTGCCTTTGTTGGCAGTGTTGCTCGTGGAATCCCACGGGCTTCCTATACATGGTTCTTGGTTCTCGTCTGTGTGGCTGTGTTCGAACAGGTGCTTGTGGTTGGATGTTGCAACGGCGCGACGTCGATTGGTTGGTGGCGAGGGTTTGTGCTGGTAGGGATGCTCGGCGGCGGGTGCAGCAAGGGAAGCCTTGGGTTTCTGTTGTTGTATTTTAGGGTTTGGGCCTTTTTGTTTGTTGGGTCATTTGGGCTAATTTGGATCTTTCCTGTTTTGTTTGTTTATGCTTTTGTATCTTTGGACCTTGTACTGTTACTTCGTGTTTGGTAATGATATTAACCCACTTCCGAAAAAAAAATATTCTTAAATTGTATTAAATTACACATTTTATCTAATAAATTATTTAAATTTTCACTAAATTGATGACATGATGAGCGTAAAATCTATAATTGAGTTGATATGCAAGGCACAATTAAAATATAATAGACGTTAAAATATACAAAAAGTGTAAACTGATAAATTTTCAAAATTTTAAGGAGATTTAACAAATGGCCTAATTTGAAACTTAGCTTAAATCTTATAGGTATAATGATGAAGTGTCGATTTAGTTCCTAAACTATCAACTCAGTAAAAATTAGGTCCCTTAATTCATTAAAAATTGCTAATTTCATCTCTACTATTATATTCAAAACTATTTTATCTAATTTTTTGTCAACTTAAGTCATTTGACACACTTTAGAGTATAATACCATCATTTTCTCGCCTATAGGCCCTTAACGTTTAATATACGTTGCGAATCAAACGTCTAATTTACCCTTCAAATTTAATTTCATACGCTATTTCTTTATGAAAAATTGCCAATCTACCCTCCAATGTGTATCACATGCACATAACGTGACTTAAGTTGATGAAAAACTGAATATAGTAGTTTTGAATCTAATATTAGAGATGTAATCAACAGATTTTTTTCTAAAAAAAAATAAAAAATAGTTTAAGACCCTAATTTTCACTCAGGTGATAATTGAAATACTAAATTAACAGTTCACCTCATAACTAATAATAAATATAGCTAGTCCGAAAAACCTCAACAAAGAATCTCGCATGGTCGAACCTACAGTTATATCCAACTTTCCTAAATATTAACCATGATTGAAAAAAAAAAAAAAAAAATGACTTGACCAAATCTTAAATAAATTTTTATAAAGAAAATTGGGTTATTGTTGATTTGGTACATCCATGAAAACCAATTGGGTGTTAGTGTTTGTGATTGGTGATATGTGTTTCAATGGAGGTTCTGTGCAAAGAAAGACAGACAATGCTCAAGAGGAAGATGAAAGGAAATTATGCTTCTCACATTTCACACACTGAACACGCATACATTTTGTTACCATTGCATATGGAAGGAAGGGAGATCCTTCACCCTCCAACACACAATATAATCTCAACCATTCATTGGTATCATCCTATGAGATAATGCCACATGTCTAATTCTATTACTTAAAACTAGATACAACATTGAGTAACCATGTGGACTATGATCCAATGACTGACATTCAAACTGAAATGGAAAACATTTGTGAGATGATCTTAGCCGTCAATCTTCAGCTGAAGGGTTACATTCCAACATTGGGTGTTTATCACAAACGTCTCTGCAATTAACATGCCCAATCAAGGTGGTCGCTGAAATTACGTTCTTCGTGATTGTCCAGATGCCATCTCCAATATCCAAGTTGGGTTTTAGATTACCCTCATTTTCTTTAAATTGATCTTGCTGTAGGAGCAATTTCTCAAGCTGTGCCTGGATCTTGAGATTACGCTCAGTCTCTTTGACGGCGCCATGAATTTCAGCAAGTATTGCAGCCTACCTGACTTCAATACTCATTTTCCATTTGGCAAGCTCTTGAAATTCTCTCCTTGCTATTACAAAACTGAACCTTATCATACTCGGAATAAGGTGGTCCCTGAAATTACGTTCTTCGTGATTGTCCAGATGCCCTCTCCAATATCCAAGCTGGCCTTGAGATAATCCTCATTTTCTTTAAATTGATCTCGCTGTCGGAGCAATTCCTTGAGTTTTGCCTGGATCGGTTCAGTTTCTTTCATGCTGCCATCAATTTCAGCACGTATTGCAGCCAGGTCGGCTTCAATCTGCATTTTCAATTTCTCAAGTTCCTGAAGTTCTCTCTTCTTGCTATCCCAAAACTGAACCTTAGGTTCAAGACGCTTTATCGTAGCTTCGACTTGGTCATTCAAGTTTTTGCCCTTATCGTGCTCGGAATAGGCTCGAAGAGGTTGCTCAAGCAGATTCAATATTGACAAAATCATTGTTCTGATGCCGATGTTAGAGCATTCAGAATCTACGAAGCTCCTGATGAGTGAGATCTTCTCAGTTCGTTGAACATCGCCAGCCATAATAGTAAAGTCCATTTCTAGAATAGTTCTGATTGTCGCTATGTCTTGCGAGTCTCTGGTAGGAGTAGAAATGGAGGAGCTGGCCAGTGTATTGGTTGCAGACGCTCGGTCGTAAAGAGCATGGAGGCTTTTACAGGAGTCCATCACCGCAACTTCTGAAAACTCATGACTCTACAATAGAAAGACGTTGGAGAAAACTATTAAGGCCTCGTTAAGCTAGTGTCAAGTGCTGGAATGGAATAGATATATACGATGTATGTCAAACAAAGACATGGATGCCAACTTCCAAATTATGTCCAAGTTGAAGCTAGAAGATAGTTTAGTTTTAAAGGAAACTTATCCATCCAAATTCTACTATTTTCTAATCCATGTTTTACCTTCAAACTTGACAAGACCTAAGGGATGTTGAATTAAAGAAAGTTGTGTACGTACCTTTCCCGTCCCAAAATAATTTTGAACGACAGCCTTGCTTTTGCCATTTTCTAGCTCAGTGGAGGTAGGCTCGAGTTCCTTCTCTTGATTCTATGTTCAAACAGATTTGTTAACGAAAAGTTTCAAATAAAGAAGGATCAAAAGATTAAAAAATAAATAAAAAATACGCACACACACATACACACGTACAAATCAAAGATGAAATGGTGTTTACCTCAACGTCTTGGACAAAATCTTGGTTGGCATCTGAGGTTGGTCTTGATTGCAGCATGGCTGGATTGCTAGACTCAAGAGCAGCAGTCATGTTGGTTGCGGCAGAAGTAGCAATCCCAATGGTTGCGGTTGGTTGTGGAACTGGTGGCTGTAATTTTTGAGCCACCACAACAAAAAATTGTCAGAAGTTTAGAAACGAAGGAAGACCGTAGTAAAAGAAGGAATCTAAGTCGCATTCTGTAATGAGAAACAAGGAATGTTAGTTTTGGAACATGAAATAATTGGGGGTTTCATCCACTAGTTACTTTGGGTGGCTGAGTCTACCTTCTGGCCACATGTGACTTTGAGTCGCTTCCAGGCTTGGTTTGTATCGTTTCCCTCTTCGTCTTCATCTACTCCTTCAATGGTTGCAAAGGGTGTGGCCTTGGACTTAGTGGAGTCTAGAAATAAGTCATCACCCTCAGCTAAGAAACTATCTAGAGACTGCCTCTAGGAATTAAGTGTATGAATGAGAAAAAATCAACGCAGTTTTTGTAATGATGCAACTTGAGAATTTACCGCATTGCCTTTTTCCAAGAGATGAATGACTTGGCTCCACCGCAGCACTTGAGCTGACTCTCGAGTTGGTGCAGGCTGCATCTGAACAATAATGGTTTAAACTTTGTAAGCATAGGGAAAAAAAAGTGCAAAACAAAAGAAAAAAATTATCGTGCCATTGTCCACCATCTTAACCCAGATTTCAGTGTCCTCATCTTCGTGCAAATATGAAACAGATTCTTCAGGTTTTTTTTTGTTGACCAATTCAACAAATAGCAGCTATTTAATGAACTCATGTATTGACAAAGACGATATAGAGTTAAAAGATACATTGGAACAAGTTGCTTGAATAAGACAAAAGGATCACATTGCACGTACTAGGTAACCCAGTACATGAATTCTCGGGGATTCCCCGATCACTAGAGTCTGCACATTATAGAATGTCAAGTTAAATAATGAACAACTCCAGAGAAATATGGAAGGCAAAGCTGGCAAAGGAATAACAAAGGGAAACAACCAACAAGTTTTGTTAAACAAATCACCAAAATCTTGAAATTTTTTGGAAAAACACAGACAATGTACAACAAAAATGTGAAGAAACAGCTTCCTCAACCTCTCTTTCTTTGCAATCTGATTCAACAAACAGTAACTATTTGAACGAATTCAGGTGTTGACAAAGACGATATGGATTTTTAAAAGGTAACAAGTTTTACTTAAAAGTATCAAGGAAAACTCAAGAGGCGATCTGATGGTGGCTAGGTGAATCCGTAATTCATGGAAGCAAAAGATATGTGTACACGAGTTGTAGTAAACATAATTCTTATCTCAAGTCATCTAGGGGTCATGGAGTGGTGAAAAACCCTTAAAACAAAGCCCAAATGTGCTCCACATGATGTGCTTTGACTGGGTTTTTTACAAAACTAACAGAGGTAGTACATTCACACTAAAGGAACAAACAAGTTTAGTTTACCAAATCACCAAAATGATTATAAAAGAAAAGTAGTACTTGATGAAACAGGTACTTGTCAAGTGCCTGTTCATCGTCTCCAAAGTTTGATGAATTTGGGCTATACAAACTATGGAAAGAGGTTTCAATGTCTTCCTCTTCGTGCAAATATGAAACAGCTTTTCAGTCTTTTTTTTATTGACCAATTGAACAAATAGTAGCTATTTAATGAACTCATGTATTGACAAAGACAATATAGATTCAAAAGATACACCGGAACAAGTTACATGAATAAAACAAAGGATCACATTCCACATACCATTAAGTAAATTCTCGAGCCAATTATCTGCACATTATAGAATGTCAAGTTAAATAATGAAAAACTCCGGAGAAATATGGAAGGCGAAGCTGCCAAATGAATAACAAAGGGAAACAACCAACAAGTTTTGTTTAACAAATCACCATAATCTTGAAAGTTTATCGCATCTGTAGCTTGTGAATGCTGGAAATTACTTTGATTGGAAATAGAAGAAGCAATCTCATATCCAGGAACATAGAGTACCCCAAGACTTGCTTGGTGATTAGATGCTGTAACATTTATTGTATTAAGCGAAGACGACAACAATAAAAGAAATACATAGAAGATAAACACGGAGAACAAATAATACAAAAAAAAAAATCAACCTCTCTTTCTTTGCAATCTGTTTCAACAAATAGTAACTATTTAAACGAATTCATTCATGTGTTGACAAAGACGATATGGGTTTTTAAAAGGTAACAAGTTTTACTTGTAAGTATCAAGGAAAACTCAAGAGGCGATCTGATGGTGGCTGGGTGAATCCGTAATTCATGGAAGCAAAAGATATGTGTACACGAGTTGTAGTAAACATAATTCTTACCTAAAATCATCTAGGGGTCATGGAGTGGTGAAAAACCCTTAAAACAAAGCCCACATGTGCTCCACATGATGTGCTTTGATTGAGTTTTTTACAAAACTAACAAAGGTAGTACATTCACACTAAAGGAACAAACAAAGTTTAGTTTACCAAATCACCAAAATGATTATAAAAGAAAAGGTAGCCACGACAAATTATGGAAAAAGATTTGCCAATGTACAACAAGTAGTACTTGTTGTACATTGTCAAATCACCAAAATGATTATAAAAGAGAAGTAGTACTTGATGAAACAGGTACTTGTCAAGTACCTGTTCATCGTCTCCAAAGTTTGATGAATTTGGGCTACACAAACTATGGAAAGAGGTTTCAGTGTCTTCCTCTTCGTGCGACTATGAAACAGCTTTTCAGTCTTTTTTTTGTTGACCAACTCGACAAATAGTAGCTATATAATGAACTCATGTATCGACAAAGACAATATAGATTCAAAAGATACACTGGAACAAGTTACTTTAATAAGACAGGATCACATTCCACGTACCAGGTAACCCAGTGAATAAATTCTCGAAGCCTCCACAATTACTAGGGTCTGCACATTATAGAATGTCAAGTTAAATAACGAACATCTCCAGAGAAATATGGAAAGCAAAGCTGGCAAAGGAATAACAAAGGTAAACAACCAACAAGTTTTGTTCAACAAATCACCAAAATCTTGAAAGTTTATCGCATCTGTAGCTTGTGAATGCTGGAAATTACTTGGTCGCAATCCAAGAATAGGGGGTAATCCAGAACTTGCTTGGTGATTATATGCCGCAACATTTACTGTGTTAAGCGAAGACGACAACAGTAGAAGAAATATATAGAAGCTAAATACGGATAACAAATAATATAAATAAAAAAATATCACCGAAATATTTGTAGAAGAAAAGGAACTCGTGACAAATATCGAAGAAAGATTTTGACAACGTAAAACAAACACCTGATACAGTGGTTTCGGGCTCTAATGTCTGAGCACTATTCAAGTTTGTCGCATCTGTAGCTTGTGAATGCTGGAAATTACTTGGATTGGGAATAGAAGAAGCAATCTCATGTTGCGATCCAAGAATAGGGGGTAACTCGTAACTTGCTCGGTGATTATATGCTGCAACATTTATTGTGTTAAGCAAAGATGACAACAATATAAGAAATATATAGAAGATAAACACGGAGAACAAATAATACAAAAAAAAAAAAAAAATCACCAAAATATTTGTAAAAGAAAAGGAACTCGTGACAAATATCGGGGAAAGATTTTGACAATGCAAAACAAGCACCTGAAACAGTGTTTTCGGGCTCTAATATCTGAGCACTATTCAAGTTTGTCACATCTGTTGCTTGTGAATGCTGGAAATTACTTGGATTGGAACTAGAGCAAGCAAAATCATGTTGCAATCCAGAAACAGGGGGTAACCCAGAACTTGCTTGGTGATCATATGCTGCAACATTTATCGTGTTAAGCGAAGACAACAACAATAGAAGAAATACATAGAAGATAAACACAGAGAACAAATAATACAAAAAAAAGAAAACCAAAATATTTGTAAAAGAAAAGGAACTCGTGTCAAATATCGGAGAAAGATTTTGACAATGTAAAACAAGCACCTGATGCATCAATTTTGCTGGAAGGCAGAACACCTTTCCCAATCCTTATTTGGTCTTCCTGATCTTATTATATATCAAAATAAATGTTAAATGTAGAACATGGATATGACGGACAAAATGAACATTACTGAAAGAAAGGGTGTGTAAGAATCTCAAGCACTAACTTGACAGATGAATGAAATGCTACTGAAAATATAAATGACAGTGTAAGGCATAACCTTTACATCCCGATAGTGGACAAGAACTCTATGTGAGAAATTCCTGCAGCAGTGAAATATTAGAGTTTAGAGGAGAGATTACTGCATTAAGGCCGAAAAAGAGACTAAGTTCTTTTAGAAACTTACTGATCAATCATCCAAAAACTGCGTCGGTGAAAATTTCCATCTTCTCTATGAGCATAGTAGCAGTGCAATGCATCAACACCTTCAACCTGACAGAGATGTACAACAATAGTTCAATAAGTTTAATTAGGAAAATAAGGAATCTTCAACCTAACAGAGATGTACACATCGAAATTGTACCATGCCATTGCTCCATATCAATTTTGTACCAAAATTCTTCCAACTATACTACATCAAATTATAAATGGCGATATCCAACATGCCAATTTGTTCCATAAAATAAATCAACATCTACAAGATTAACTGATTACGTTACATAAATATAGTTGTATGGTTAAGTGTCATGCTTAATACATCATATTTCTTATAACATCAACCTTGGCGTATGCTTACCTTGAGCTTCTCATGGCCTTCCTTAGTCCTTCCATCTTTTGCCGTCTTCCATTTATAGCCATCCTTTCTAAAATGCTTCACCAAGTTCCTATCATAAAGAACAATGGATCCACCTAAAACAAATCATGTGTGTCAAGCAAATAAAGGTTTCATATGTTTCCAAATAAAGCAATGCAATGTTCACAGGCATCCCAAAATAATTAATAAAAACAAACATGTCGTAACATCCAATGCAAATGTCGATTCTTATATTCTTGAAAGCCAATGACACTATATCCCAATTAATTTCTTATAAATAAAAAAGGGTATTGTTATTGACACTCCAAAAATCTTATTATGCACTCCTCACAAATGAGAATTTTGGAGCGCCAATATCAATTCGCATAAAAAATAGCTTGATTAATTTTATAAAGAGAAGAAAAACCCACAAATCTCATGTGAGAGGGCAATCTAAAAGAAAATGATCGACCAACTCGACCAATACTTTACATAAACACCGGTTGACATAAACTTTCCTCTTATACAAATGACCAACAGTTCAAAACTTATCAAGGGAATTTTCAATACACATCCAAATTAATCTTCGAAGAATGATGCAAAAAGAAAAATAAAATTCTTAAAATGCTAAAGAAAATTCGAGTTAAATAAGCCAATACAATATTTCTTAACAAATGCAATGCAGCAGAAAGTCATACTTGGTGGTGTAGTTGCAGGCTTCTCAGAAATTGTGTAGTTAGGATTTCGAAGAACATTACATATTTGCTGCGCACTTAGCCATCGATGATATTTCTGGTCGAGTCTTACTTCCATTTCACTTGCTGCATTCAATCATATCATAATCAACACATAATAAAATATCTATGTTGAAAATTTTGATATATTTCATGTCTATATATATATATATATTGACAACTTTCAAGAAAACATAAGAACCACAGATGAACTTGGGTTGGATCAACATACTCATATTGCAATGAATTGCAAAAAGTCAAAACATTTTTATCGAACATATCAAACTTACAATGGTCGCGATCGCTCTCCGCCATGAAGTCAGCAGTGGGTTTCGATTAAATTCACTGTGATTGCAATTTGCACAAGCAGCTACAGCTCTACAATTCACTCGTGGCCTGCATTATATAATGCAGTGCTTTGATCTGAAGGTTTGGTGATACAAAGAAACCGTGTTCAGAGTAAAAGGCAGAGTTTGAAACTTGCAATTGATCAGGAAGATCGCAATTGCTCTCCGCCATGAACTTGGCAGTGGGTTGCGATTAAATTCACTGTGACTAGAATTTGCACAAGCAGCTGCAGCTCTACAATTCACTGTGATTGCAATTGCTCTCCGCCATGAACTCGGCAGTGTGTTTCGATTAAATTCACTCGGCAGTGGTGTTGTAAAACAAAGAAACCGAGTGCCGAGTAAAAGGCAGAACGCGTTTAAAAGTGAAAATGCCGAGTAGTCGACTCTGACTTTTCTGTTCCGACCTCTCGTACTACATAACTTTCCCAAATTGTCTTTTTATTTGTTTTAGTCTTCAATATTCAGAATTTGCCCTTGTTTCTGAAAAAAGAAAAAGAAAAACTTTTCCCACCACGAAAACCGTCCTGCCATCTCCGCATCTCTCTCTCTCTTCGAATCTTCATGGTGGTGGACCGGTAAGATCAGTGCAGGAAGACCCTGCGGAAAGGAGAAATTTTTTCAGAAGCCGGGTACACATGATACCTGGTGTTCCCAACCTATTAGCATTTGACACCTTAGTTGTCATCTTTTTAAATGACTCAATCTTTAAATTTTATTTTTCAGAAGCCGGGTACACATGATACCCAATGCCCCATTTGAATGAAACTTTCAGTATGCCCGTACTACCTGTCGAAGTAAAAAAATACACGTGCAAAAATGAAATTACAGATAAAAATAAATGAATGAAAAAGAAGCCGCTCCTGCATTCAAGAAAAGTGGAGTTGAAGTTGGTGTTGGATGTAGCCTTTTTTTCTTCCTCTTCCCACGTTGCCTTCCAAAAGGCATCTGATGGTGGATATTACACTATATATTTTAATATTAGAGTTCGGCACGCCCAACACACAACTGAAAGACATAGTTAGCTTATTAATTACTCAACATGCGCGCCACGTAGGCTAGGTAGTTTTTAGGATCAACATTTTGGCACGCCAGGTGGGACCCAGTGCAAAATCTACAAAGTTCATGACCATTGAAACACAGTCAGTCAAAAAGTAAACAGTCATGGGTAAGTCCACAACTAATTTACCACCTACAGTCCAAAGCCCAGGATAAGATGGCACGTTACAGGCACAAAATCATCCTGTTGCCGTGACACATGAAGTCATAAATACAACGCGCCGAGAAAAGGAAATTAATCTCGGCAGTCAGACTCATGATGCAAAAATCCCCATCAAAATGGCAAAATGCGTCTTTGTCGAATGACTAGTGGAAGATTGTGACGATGACGATGATGAGGCCTTTGGTCCACCATATAGATATTTTCTCAGGCGACAATTAGAAGAACAATCTCAGAAATTTGAGCAAATGTTCAGCCAAGAGGTAAAAAGCATACTTAAAGAGATGCATGATAACAGCGCTGTGAATAATAGATTCCTCGAAGTTTTGGTTAATAAAGCCCACGAAGGTGGACACGTCGATTGACCTAGGCAACCTCATCTCCTAAAGAATATTCCATTGCCACCGATACAGGCCGAGATAGGATTTGCTCGGCCTAAAATGATTAACTTTAGAAAAAGTGGTGAACCTAGCAGCAGCTTGGTCAAAATCGACCAATGAGTAGAGACGGCGCCTGTTGACATGATCAAAGTCCAGAGAATGATTGATTCGACCTTAAAAAAGGGGTTGAAGTTCCCAAAATTCATTCACCCATATCCAACCTTTGTAGAAAGGTTCGAATATCTTAAGGGATTCAAAATTCCAAACTTTAGCCTTTTCGCTGGAGAATCATCCTTGTCCTTGTTAGAACATATGGCTCGATTCATTGCTCATTGTGGAGATGTTAACAATGATTTTCATAAACTATGACTATTCAATTTCTCGATAACAGGCACAGCATTCGCATAGTACATCAACCTCCCACCCAACTCCATCCAAAGCTAGGAGGAATTAGTCAAGAAATTTCATGAGCAATTCTATCAGCCAGGGATCGAAATGTCAGTTTCTTCTTTGGCTAGGATGGCTCAAGCATCCAATGAATCACCGATGTAGTATCTTACGAGGTTTAAATCGGCCAGAAACTGGTGTCGAGTACCCCTTTCTAAGGTCGAGTTTGTTAGGCTTGCCTTGAATGGCCTGGATGTTGAGTACAAAAAGAAATTCTTAGGGGCAAACTTCCGAGATATGTATGACCTGGCTCAACATGCCAAGCAATATGATTATTTGCTCAAAAAAGAGAAAATCTCGAAGACGATCTACAATAACACAACGGTAAGTTATGCATCGGCCGAAAGCAAAGAGTCCCAATATGCTAGTACAAATGCAGCCGAGATATTAATTGACAAACCATACGTAGGCAAGGCATTGGCTCACGCTAATTCCAAAGATGTCAAAACTCACTCGGCCTCTGTGGAAGCAGCCGTCAAAATGCCGAAGGTCTACATTTCCGACATCACCAAAGCCGACGCCATCTTCGACCTGTTGTTACTTGCAAAAATCATCAAGCTTTGGCTAGGGTACAATATCACCAAGGCCAAAGATTTGAAAGGAAAGACGTACTGCAAGTACCATAACTCAAATAAGTATATGACAAATAATTATGTTGTATTTCACAACACCATCCAAAGCCGGATCAACAATGGCAAACTCAAGTTTTCCGAGAAAGCTCAAATGATAGTCGACACCGATGATTTTCCTCCTACGACGGTAAGCATGATAGATGCTCATCTACCTAAGGACAAGAAAAAGGAAAAGTTGAGTTCATCCCAACGCAATATGTCCCTAAACAGAACCTTCGGCCATGATTGAAGATTGATTTATTTTCGGACGAGCCACCTAAGTCTTTTCAAACCCAGCTTATGCCGAGTTAATGTCGGACTCCAGCACAAGAGACTGAAAGCCCAATGGTTCTATGTAGTCAATGCCAATCGATCATCATCATAACTGAGTTGAAGGCACAACCACTTCAGGCTGAGGCACCACAACTGGTGCCTACAGCTGCGACAACATCTCAAACACAGAGTAATAAGCCGTCTTTGGCTCGACTCCATAGAGTTTTCGATAGGCTTGGCTCTCAAACACAGAGTAACATGCTGTATTCGGCCAGACGACGACTCAACTTCGACGAGCCATTTTATAATAAAGATTATTATGTGCACAACTCTGGCAGCTGAAGTTCACCCGTGAACCAGCGAACCTTTAAGCCACCTGAGTCACACGACCAACGTTGGTATAGCTACAACTCCTCTGCTAGCACATATACCGCGCTGTACAAATCACAGAAGCATCCCACCAAAGAATAGATTGCATGGCTCGTCGACAAGCAACCCAGGCTACCCCAGCTACCAAATGGCAGCTGAAAGAAACAGTGAGAAACGAAGATGGCCGACAAACTCCGACAATCAAGACCGAGCTGCTTCAAGGAAATAAGGTTTTAGTTTTCACTTACGTAAAAATGTTTTAGTTTTCACTTTTGTTATATATTTTGGCAACCAAATGTATGTTACGTATTGGCTTCTGATTAATGGTGGTGGTTTGCTTATTTTCTATACATGCAAACAGTTTTGATCATCTTAGTTTGCAACAATCAACTTCTTAAATGGATAGAGACTGTATTGATTTGGGTTTTTAGTTGCATTCCTGGTTTTGTTGCTGTCCTTCTTTAACCTTATTGAAAAAATTGATGCGGCAAAGGAAAAGTATCTCACATCTTCTCATTCGTCCAATATCAACGTAACTCTGCTGATTAAAATACATTATTGTACATTGGCTTTTAATTTATATGTTGTCGATATTGATATCAAGGGCAGTTTTATTTCAGTTTGTCTAATTCAGAATCCTTGGCAGTTTGGAACATTTTGGTATGGTTTATGTTATTGGACTTCTTTGTCAAGATTGTTAATGCAATCACTTAGAGGTACCGGAAGAAACAGTAGGAAACGGAGGTTGCTTTGTTGTCAAAGAAGTCATAGAATACTGGTCACACAAAATTCAACCATTACTTGGTTTCACAAGTAGAAGTAATAGAAATTGCTAAATACAGCTCTTTCGTAAGGCACATTTGATCTCTCCCCAAAATACAGCTTTTTCAGCCATTACTCGATTACCCACATTTTCTTTAGATATACGTTCTTGCTTGAATATTACAAGGAAAATATGCATTATCTTAATTGTATATTAATTTTTTTCCAGAAGGTCTGGAGGAAACATGTTTATAGTTGCTGATCATTTTTTTTTAGATTAATTTTCTTGTTTTTCATATCTTAATTACTCTGTGAACTGCTCTGAAATGCTCTATGAACTCTAGTTCTGATTTATCTTAAGGTTTGTGGGGTTTGTAGGGATCATCTTCTGATTTCAGCCCCTGCCAATATTGCATCCCCTTCTCTCTCTCCTTTTTTACGACTTCCTAATCACCTAGAAGAGAAAACCAATAATTAAATGGCAATTTTCTTCAATTTTGATGAAATCTTATTAAAGAAGTGCATCAAATTCAAGTAATGGTCAATCTCGTGTATTGCATCAAATGTTATTTCTAACATAAAAAAATAAAAACAAATAAAAGCAAGCAATCTAATTGGCTGTGATCTTATTTTTTCCCTGCCATGACCAGAAATTATGCATCCATAATTGATAGACATGTTAAAATGACTGAACACTGTAAAGGCTATGAGAATGGCAGATTGAATATTTCATATATCTCATTGTTGTACAATATAAACACCACAAGTCAACTAACCAACCCTACATTAAGGGCTAGGAAACAGTGACCCATATTTAATGGGATTTGACTCAAACATATTTAGGAAAATATAATACAAGATATTTACATATAATACAATATAATATTTCTTAATACTCCCCCTCAAGTTGGAGAGTGAATATTATGAAGTCCCTACTTGTCGCGTAGTGTTACAAAGTGATCTTTCCCCAAGGCCTTAGTAAATAAATCTGCTAACTGGAAACGTGTAGGTATATGTGAAAGACTAATCATTCCAGCTTGCAGTTTTTCTCGAACAATGTGACAATCAATTTCAATATGCTTCATTCGCTCATGAAAAACGGGATTAGCTGCAATATATAGGGCGGCTTGATTGTCGCAAAATAATGGTGTGGGAGCCTTTTACGGAACCTTTAAATCTTGCATTATATAGCATAACCAAGTCAATTCTAAACATGTGTTTGCCAAAGCCCGATATTTGGCTTCTGCAAACGATCAAGAAACATTATCTTGTTTCTTGGATTTCCATGAGATAAGTGAATTTCCAAGAAAAACACAATACCTTATAATTGACCTTTTAGTGGCACCATAACCTCCCCAATCTGAATCACAAAAGGCCTTTAACTCAAGATTATCGGAGGCAGGGAATAACAAGCCTTGACCAGGAGTGCCTTTGATGTACCTAAGAGTTCGTAAAGCTGCATCCCAATGAGGTTTGCGAGGCTCATGCATAAATTGACTCAATGTGTGAACTAAAAAGACTATGCCAGGCCTGGTGACAGTAAGATAAATCAATCGTCCGACTAGTCT